TTCAAATATTTTTTAGGTGTCTAATGTGGGCCAGACACCATTTTTGTTTATAGGAATACAGGATGAACAATTTAGGGCCCATCATACAATGAGATTTACAATTAAGTACAAGAGAGAAATATTTAAGAAAAATCACACAGATATCAATCATGGTAGTGTTAGCAGTTATAGCAAAGAAATATTGTGTGTCTTATGTGTTTTTACTATGCAGCTCTTTTCTAGACCTTGGGCTGCATTTTTCTGGGGAATTAGAGTCCTTAAGCAGTGGTATAAATTAGCTGGACAAAATGGACAAAATGGGTGGGAGGGGGAGCTTTATAGGCAGAAGGCACCGTTCAAGAGAAAAAGCCCCAAGGAATAAAGAAATATTATTCTGGGGGAGCTGAAAACAGTCAGTGAGCCTAGAGTATAATGACCAGTGAGTGGCGAGTCATGGGCCTGGTGAATTCCTATAAGGTCAGATAACTCGGGTCCTGTAGGTAATAATCATATCTTACATTTTATCCTAACAGTAAAGAGAAGCCTGCAGGTCACTTCTACACTGTCATCTCCTTGCTAGCAGGCAGGAAGACTTAACGCCTCTCTCCAGTTTTCCACCAGTTACTTTTGGAAGTGGCAGGTTGCAGTAAAGACAGAGGTGCCACTGGGGGCAGGTAAATTGATTTATTGGGCAGAGCAGCAGCTGTTGTTTTGGGACATTGTGGTCCGGTACTATGGCTCAGATTTGCCAAGGCATTAATCTATTCTTCATCCACACTGCTTCTCACTAGTTGGAAGCTCAGTTTTGTTTACTCCATTATTCTTTAGACTATATTACATTGTATTCATCCTTATAAAAATGTAGTTTGGGTTGGAGTTGTAGTTTGTGTTGCAGGTACCATGAGAATAGAGTCAGCATTTACCTCTAGGACATTTTATTTTAGGAGCTAGTTAGGAATTGCTGGAGTACAGGAACTCTCCTAGTACAACAAAGCTTGAAAGGGGCCATAAATTCTGCTCTTGTTGCTCTTGTCCTTGTTATTGACAGAATGCAAGAATCTGTGGAGATAAACAACAGTGCGTGCATGTGAGACTGTTACTCATCGTCATTCTTACCTACTCAAAGTAGGCACAAACTTATTTCATGTCTCACAAAGTTGTTTTAAGCAGGAAAGTAACATATTGAAATGATATTTTACTACAACTTTCCTTACTAAACGTTGGGGGAAAATTTTGCACTGGTGCAAGGCAAGAATGGAAAATAGAAGGAGGGTGAAGATGCTTGACTATTGGCTTGAGAGGTCTGTAACTTTGGATAGGATGGTTGCTGTGAGAAGAGCTCTAAAAGCGGTCATTTAAATTGTTTTATTTATTTCCATTAGTTTTATAAAAAGTGACATTTTTCTGATCTTCATTAATATATAACTGCTTTGTGTTTCAGTGGCATAATTATTTCACTTCTTAGGTAGAATTGATTTTTATTTTAATTCAGAAATAGTAGTTTGCGTTCCAGATATTCTTCAAGGTGCTGTGGAAACACGTGCCAAATAATCAGACAAGGTTCTGCCTTTGTAGGGTTTTTTAATCCCCATAAAGATGCATATACATGTATGCACATATATAATGCCAGTCATAAGTGTAAGGAGTTCCATATAAAAGAGTGTCCATTGTACTGACAGCAAAAACAAGGCAGGCTTGACCTGTGATATGGAAGAAATATATTTAAACATTAAAAAGAGGGGGGGGGGAAAGACACTTCAGGAAGGAAAAATACATTGATCTTTTGACAGGAGCAATTAGATGCATCGTAACAATAGAAAGATGATCAACATAGTTGGAACTCAGAGATGAAAGGTGAAACTGGAACAGTAGGCAAGGATCAAGCAATTAAGAACCTTGTAGGTCAGGTTAAGGTGTTAGCCTTTATCTTATTAGCTTATAGCATGTATCTAATAAGGATTTACTTAAAGAACAAATATGGGTGTCTCAGGAAACAATTAGGACAGAAGTAGCAGATAGTGAAAAGACCAACTAGCTGAGATTTACAGAATGAGATCTGAGTGAATTATAAATGAGATGTTCATGGTGTAAGATGGTAAGAAGGTAGGCAGTAGTTTCAGTGTGGAATTTGCTGTTGCTGAAGTGGTAGGTGAATCATCTTCCTGGTGGGAAGAAAAGCTAGTAAGACTGGGCAGGTACATGCAAGAGATGGTTCTTCTGCTTCTTGAAAATGAAGCAGAGATTTGTAATCAGAAATGTGAATATTGTCAAGAAGCTTTAAGCACATTAAACATAAATGCCTATTAGTGCTTGCCAGTTACAATATTGAAGGATATTTGCAGGAACCAACTGAATGCCTGGCTTTTCTGTATATTTATTTTCTGCCTTATGACTATGAGTGTTGGGAGTCCCCAAAACTAGTCCCTGGCTTAGTGATTTTCTGGGAGGATTCAGAGAACTCGGCATACAGCAGCCATAATTATGGACATGATCATTTACAGTAAAAAGGTTCAAAGCTAAATCATCAAAGGGAAAAGGTATGGGGCAAAGTCCCAAGGAAATAAGGTGTAGGCTTCTAAAGAGTCCCACTCCAGTAGAATAACAGAATATATTTAATTATCCAGAAATGAGCTTTGATGACACATGTAAAATACTGTCTATAGGGCAGCTCATAAGAGAGTCAGTGCCCAAAGTGTTTATTGGGAGCTGATGATTATGTACCCTTTCCTATCCTGTACCAAATTGCCAAACTCCAAGTGTTCATCATAAACATTGCTTTAACAGAGTCACAGTGAGTGACTCATCAGTTTTAGGAAGGGGAAGAAACTTTGTTCATGTAATCCTAGTTATGCCATGGACCAACTTTGCAACCAAGCCTTTGTAAGGGTATCTTAAGTCTTTTATGTACAGTGCCAAGAACAGAACTTGGAGAATGTTTTTGACTTCCCTGGTTCTTTATGAGATTACATTTTACGCACTAAGTTCTGTAGCAACCTATGAATGTATAGATGAGGCTGTTATTTATACATGAATGCCACAGACTCCTGACTTTTCTACTTTTGGGTCATCAAATTTCTTCACTCTTTTTCACACAATACTCTTGCAACACCACGTGTTTGGCTGAGCTGGGTATTGTGAAATTTAATCTCATGCTCCTTTCTTCTAATCTCTTCACTAGTCGTGATGTATTGATCTCATGTCATATCTAAGTTACTTTGAAGGTTAATGGAAAAAACATCCTTCACTTTGAAATGTCTTTTTATATTAGTCTGTAATTTACATTACTAACAACTCACAAAAATACCTAGGGTCTGCAGAATTTCTGATTGGAATTCAAAGATAATATTCAGGGGAATTTTAAAATTTAACAAAATCCCATAAAGATTTAATAATAATTATAGTGTGGAAATATGTTATCCTATGGCTTACCTTGTGGAAAAATGTACGAAGATGCTTTTACTAAACTGATGTTGCATTTATTGGGTGTAAGGTACACATTAATAGAAATCGCTAAGAAGGTTATAGTGATCAGAACTGCGGCAAATTGTTGTTGAGCTGTGATCTTGCTGTGTTGCAACGCAATATAGTTTATATATTGTTCTGTTCTGTATTACTCCATAGTAAATACCAAGGAGTTTTGACTTTTCTTCTAGTAATTGTTCTAATTTTCTAATTACTTTTTATTCAAAAAGTGTTCTATGGACTAGTAACAGTGGGGTTACCTGAGAGTTTGTTAGATGTGCGGTATCCCAGGCCCACTCCCAGACTTACTGAATAAAATTCTTTCGTTTCCTCAACATTCCTTAGCCTCTAGCCATTGCCTCAGTTTAGATCCACTTTTCTTGGTACTCCAGACAACTGTCTAAAGGATGCATTTAGCACATTGTCATCAACCCCAACACTGATGCCCCTAAAAGAAAATCTCTTGCCTTCACATTGTCAATGCTGTTTCTAGGCAAGTGGTCACTACGCTAGGTCACGGTTTAAGCTGGAGTCACTCACATTTCTCTTTATCTTAGTAATTCCTAGATAATTCCTTCCCTATTTTTCACTGATAGCTACTTGTTCCCAGATTCTGGACAGAACTAAGATGTCCTACAGCCTTAGGCAATTCAATGATTCTTTTGGCTCTGATTAAAGAGTATCTCATGGTCAGGAAGAGTTTAATTCTTTTTCTCATTCTTAGTTCCACAAATAGGCAACCTGCTGCCTTCTCTGGTCCACTTTACATTTGGCTCTTCTCCTCTCTTAGTTGATTCAACCTAAGTACTTACGCTTCTCACTTAAAAGTTTTAGTGGATCACATATCCTCGGGAAAAATTCCACAACTAAAAAATTTGGTTACATAGACTCATTACCCTTCCAATTAAAATTCAAGTTACTATAAGAAAATTTCTCAAATGGAAATCAAATTTCATACAAATTATAATTTAAACTCTGTTTGAATTTTATTATTAAAGGTTCTCTAGAAGGAGGTTAATAAACATTGGAGCTTGACCTACATATTGAGCAAATTTACTTATTAAAATGGAGTTCATAAGTATTGAGCTAATTTATACCAAAGGGAAATATTCTGTTTAGTTGTTTGAATTCTATTTCTAAGGCAAATAGTTTTACAGTTTCCTAAGACTAGGTGAATATGCAAAGTGATAGAATTAAACCAACTGTAAGAATGAAAAGGCCTGATTTTTTTTTAACACTGTGAAGTGACACTGTTCTCTAAATGGGTACTTTTTGTTACTTCTTTCCTTAAAGTGCTGTTTTCATTAGTCAGAGTAAACTGTATCTACTCAGTGTAATTTTGCTGAAGTCAACAGTCCTAATCCAAGACTTACTATTTTTTTTTTTTTTTTTTTTTTTTTTTTTTTTTTATAGTTTAATGTATTTTAATAGCAAACTTACAGGAACAGCACAGAAGACAGACAACATTAAAAACATGTACTTGCATGTAGGACAACTCAGTTAGAAAAGTATAGTGAATGGATGGAATCTACTGTATGATAAAAATGCTACAAACACCATTTAGTTGCCGTCAATAAGAAATTTACTTGTTTTAAAAAAATCCAAATGCTGGCATTGTCCAGAAAAATTTAACAGGTTTATTTATAATTATTATAAAGTTGAACCACTGAAACTTGTTCACTGAAACATTTTAACTTGCATTAATGCTTTACGTCTCCGCATTTATATTAAAAATTCACACACAAATGAAAATGGAAAAACTGCCAATACCTGATTTCTGTCCCCTATTTTTCCACTCGCAATCATATACTTAGGTACCTTTTGACCCCATGGAAAAAAAATTATCTAACGTTCAGAACTACCAATAACAGGAAGAAGAGAATTTTTTTTTTTTTTTTAGAATGAAATGTTTCCCATCATAGTGGATTCTTAAGCACGCTCTCCACGTATGCGGCGTGCTAGCTGGATATCTTTTGGCATAATTGTTACACGTTTGGCATGGATAGCACAAAGGTTGGTGTCTTCAAAAAGGCCAACCAGATAGGCCTCACTTGCCTCCTGCAAAGCACCAATAGCTGCGCTCTGGAAGCGCAGATCTGTTTTAAAGTCCTGAGCAATTTCTCGCACCAGACGCTGGAAGGGAAGTTTGCGAATCAGAAGTTCAGTGGACTTCTGATAACGTCTAATTTCACGGAGTGCCACAGTACCAGGCCTGTAACGATGAGGTTTCTTCACCCCTCCAGTAGAGGGCGCACTCTTGCGAGCGGCTTTTGTAGCCAGTTGCTTCCTGGGTGCTTTACCACCGGTAGATTTGCGGGCAGTCTGCTTTGTACGAGCCATGGTATAGAGACCTCCTTACTTACCCCCCTTCTCCTTCGGTTGGAGCTCGGCGAGCTAGAGGCGGCGCTGGCGTTGGAGAGCGACGGCGGCGCGGCGGCGGCTGCGAACCGACTTACTATTTTCAATGTATTACATGTATTTGGTGAAATTGAACAAAATGTGTTTATTTTATTCTGGATTTATCTTGAGAGTTCCCTATGAGAACAAGAAACTTTATTAAAGGTAACTCAGTTTATCTAGGATTTATAAAAACAATTTAGAACTTTGAAGCATTTGAATGCCTTAGTATGACCATTTGTACTCTTCCTTGCCATTATAAACCATTCCAAAGTTTATGCTATGAATTCATATTTACAAGACAATGAAGCCATTATGTATAACAAATGCATGTCTAAAAGGGGGGAAAAAGTTCTTTTTTAGTCCCCTTGGGGTCTAATTTTGTTGGAGTGCTCCACTAAGCCTGTCTGAAATCTTGCATCAAATAACAAAATCCCTCCCCTAGATGGAAGATTACTAGGATTTGCTACAAACTCTAATGCCTTCAGGGTCTGGAAGTTCTCTAGATCAGATACAGACTCTGAATGTAGCATGCATGTGACAGGTGGCATGCCTAACTATGATTAGGACATGCCTAAAGTTGTGGCTTTCTAAAAGTATTTATAGTTGGTACATTCTACATAGTCTACCATTCAGAGATCATTTTGACTACTAAAATTGCTTGATAACAAAGTTATTTTATGTTCATCAGTTTTTCAGGAAAATTGAGCCATTTTCCTTTTCAATTCTAAAAGTTTAAGGGACTCATATTTGTGGCCATTTTTGCATAGCACTGGCCTGGGAAGTCTTCATGGTTAATAGGACTGACCACAAAAGGGTGCCTATTTTTTAAAAAATGGAGTCTTTCTCTGTTGCCTAGGCTGAAGCATAGTGGCACCATCTCAGCTCACTGCAACCTCCACCTCCCCGGTCCCGGTTCAAGCAATTCTCCTATCTCAGTCCCCCAAGTAGCTGAGATTACAGGCAGGAGCCACCATGCCCAGCTAGCTTTTGTATTTTTTAGTAGAGATGGAGTTTCACCATGTTGACCAGTCTTGTCTTGAACTCTTGACCTTCTGATCCACCCACATTGGCCTCCCAAAGTACTAGGATTACAGGCGTGAGCCACCACCTTACCAGGGTGATTTTTTTTTAACCCTTTACCTACAGAGCCTAATCAAAAGTAAACTTGCAGGCAATAAAATGGTAATTGCTATACTGGTAGAACTTTTTCTTTGTAAGGATTATAAATATTACCCTCTAATAATCTGGTGGTAAGCAGGAGATCGGAAAGCTCCTGTTGATATCAGAAGTTACCATGTGGCCCAATAAGCAGACAATACAAGTCACAGAAGGAAGAGATTGAAAGGTTCGGAACCTTGGACAGAAACTTCACTTCTAACCACACTGACTAGATGTGTTTATTAATCCTTCAGTGAGGAGGGATTTGCTTTGTGATTAAACAAGACTGCTTCTGAATTGTACATAGTAAAATTAATTGCCTCTGTGCCGAAGTTAATTGTTAGAAATGTAACATTGGTAATGAGTATGTATATAAATAGAGGCAGCGACTGACTTCTCTTGAGTATGAGCCCTGGAGTCAGACTGCCTGGCCTTGCCATACCCTAGGTATGTGACCTCAGGGAAGTGATGTTTACCTCTTACTCCTCAGTTTTTAGTCTGTAGCATAAAGATAATAAATGTTTATTTTCATAGGGTTGGGTAACAATTAAATCAGCTAATATAAGTAAAGTTCTTAAGAAAGTGCCTAGAACAGTGTAAAAACCATTAAGCAAATGAAAGTTAATAATCAACAAATGTAGTTTATTCATTATAATATTTAAACTTACCGTGATTGTTATTTACAATGCCTAGACTTCCTAGGCTCCATCTGGGAAGTACCAATCAGGGGAAAAGTGAAACGAGTCCTAACCACAGTGATTTCTAAGCCGGTCCAAAAATGGCTACACATATGAGTCACTTAAAAAACTTGTAGAAACAGAGTTTAAGTTTTGAATTTTCAGGGGCCCACTCCATCTTTACTCAAACTGTATTTCTGAGAATGGTTCTCTGAAAGACTTCCAGACAAGAACCTACAGATCTTAGAATTGAAAACTGATAGTCAAGACCACATGGTTTAGTTCTTCAAGGCTTTATTTTCACCATTTAGACTAGAGGTATCAAGGTTAAAAATGTCTAGCTCAGATAACTGGGTCATGGACAGTGGGTTAGGTTTCTACATTCACTTAGAACATTTCTTCATGCATTAAAATAAGCAGGCAAAATTCTATCAATCTCCATTATGTGATGATGGTATATATGTGCACCTATGAATATTCATTATGTTAAGTATGTCCACATATTTAGTAACTTTTGCTCATGGCACTGTCTCTGCTGAGAGATGCAGTCCTCCACTGTGACTGGGTATTGTACAGATTAGGAAAATAGTTTGCCTTAGAAAAGACCATACACTGGATGGTCATTTTTGAGGTAGCCTGCTTTGGTGTGTTTCTGACATACTAATAGAGAGCCCCAGATATGAGGGGGGAAAAAGTAGTTCTTAGAATCATTATAAGAAAAACATGGTAGAAAATATTTAAGAATACTACTTAACCCATCTAAAATTGCTGTTCCTTTAAATAGCATGAAAAATACTTAGTTAAATCAGTAAGTCTATTTTCCTACTGGAATTAGCACTCATTATAAGTGTATAGGTCGATGGATTTGGAGAATTGTGTACAGTCATGTAACCATTACCACCAGCAAGATATAGAACTACTTCATCAGCAATATCTAGAAGTGCAAAGAAGACTGGCTGGTTTGTGTTGAGAAGTGAATCATGAGACAGATGTGTAGAAAGAAATATTCAAGAGTGTAGTGGAATCACTTAATGGCAAAGACTCTCCTCCACTTCACCCACTGGACCGTTATTCCAAAGACACTCAAGGCCTGCTGGCACATAAACCAGCAGTAAAGTAATGGAACAATAGCAATATGAGTAGCTATTCAGAGGGGAGAGAGATATTAGCAGTGTCACTGACCTAAGCAGCATAAGAAGCATACATGTAAACTGAGATAGCAGAATGGCCAAGCATTAGAGCAGAACTGCCATTTTACCCCTTAATAAACCCCTATCATTTAGCCAGAGTCTTTGACTAAATGGAGAAGAGGAAATGTTGTACAGAAATCAAACAGTTCTGTATCTTGCTGGTGATATAGGTTACCTGACTATATACAATTCTCCAGATCCGCCAACCTATGTATTTATAATTAAATTTTATCTAACATAAATTATACCTTAATAAAGCTAAATTAAGTTTTTAATTAATTTTAATATAAAGTATTTGATTTTAAATAAATATGGCCAAAACTATATATTTAAAAGCCGCAACAACTTTAGTTGTAGGAAAGTAAAAGTTTGGGTTAGATGTTGGTGGTTCAGTCAGAAGCCTAATTATATTGTAACTGGAAGCAGATGGACCCATGAAATCACTGGTTGTACAAAATGGAGGCAACCTAATGCCGAAGTAACTTACAGAATTAATACTCTAGAAACTTTGTAAAAGGTTGAATTTATTTACAGAGTGCACTGAGAAATAAACCAAGAATGATTAACCAGTCTGTTTAAAATTATGGAAAGAGAGACAATAAATGAGAAAAACAAAATTCTTTGAACTGTTTTAAAGTTTTGAGTAATTTGGAGAAGGTATATGTTTTTTCTGTTTTTCTGGTAGATTTGATAGAATGAAAGCTGTTTGTCTTCTTAGTAACTAGAGATAACTATTTTCTAAACCTTAATATTTCAAATATACCAACTACATTATATTTATTATTGACTGTCTATTTCACAGGTTAACTTAGTTTTTGTTTCATAAAATTCACTTCTTTCCAACTAACACTCAAAATTACTTGTGTAGTTACTGCAAATTTCAGTTTAGCTGGTAGGCCCAGTAAGTGCATTTAAAAATAGAAAATGGTCAGATCTGACCTTTGGATTCTGATAGCTGAGGGGTAATTGCACTGAAATCATCACCCTTCCAAGGAGGAAACACTGGCTGAACATTGACTCCCTGCTTAAATAAAATGGGGTTATTTTTTTTCTAACCAGGTGAATCTTTTGACACTTTGATGGCAAGTGTCATTACCTCTGTCTGGTCTGTGAATTGCTGAATCCTCAGAAAGTGTGATTTAATAGCCTGAATCTGTCATGAAATATTTATAGCATTTTTGTGCTTTGAAGATTTTGAATTTTACTTATAACCATATTAAAGAAATGCCGTATATAGAAGGTGCCACAATGCCGCAAGATAATATGATAATATTTATCTTGTGCAAGTACAATTATTCTGATACAAGTGTATTTTGGGTCATTTTATGGAACTTAGATAATATCTAGTGAAAAGTCAAATATTTGAGAAGTCATGCGGACATCATTTTTATGAGCTTTAAAAGGATGATTCAATAGAGAAGTAACTACAGCCTTTTAAAACAGTTTTAAAACAAATTCAAAAGCAGAATTGGATAAGAATCTGAGAAACAGGTAAGAATATTTTTTAAGTTATAAACATTTTAATTGACATAAAATTTGTACATATTTATGGGGTACATTGTCATATTTCAGTATATTTATATATTATACAATGATAAAATCAGAGTAATTAGTACATCTGTCACCTCAAAATTTATCATTTATTTTTGATGATAAGATTAGAAATTCTTTCAGTTATTTTGAAACATACAGTACTTAATTGTTAATTATAGTTACCCTACTGTACAATAGAACAGCAGAACTTACTCTACCTAACTGTAACTTTGTACCCCTTGACCAGCCTCTGCCTCTCTCCCCATTCCCTACCCCTCCCTAGCCTCTGATAACTGCTATTCTACTTCTGTGTGATCAACTTCTTTTATATTGCACATATGAGTAAGATTATTCAATATTTGTCTTTCTGTGTCTATCTCACCTAACATATCATTTAGGTTCATCTATAATATTTCTAATGGTAGAATTTCATTTTTTTATGGCTGAATAGCATTCCATTGTATATAGATACGAGATTTTCTTTGTCCATT